CCCCAAAACCCCAAAACCCCAAAACCCCTTGATGCAGATGCAGACAAATTTTAGGATAATTATATTTGATGAAAGGGTTGAATATTAAGCGTAAACATATTGCGAATCAACATTTGTCTGGTCTTACAAAGTCTGGGGCAATGGTTGGGCATTTCTCTGACATGTGAGCGTAAGGAGAAATGGTTGAGTAACCTGGGAGGGTCATTCTGTATTTTCCTAGGAGTTGGCAATATGGTAGAGTTGGGTCAGCTTTAACACAGGCATCTGGTCTGTTGTAGTTCAAGTCATAGACATTAAGAGTATAAACATCTCTTGGAGTGAATTCTGGGCCATTAATCTTGCCTGGGAAAAGTCCAGCAGCTTGGTAGAGAGCAGCAACGTAAGCAGAGCAAACGTATGCTCTTCCGTCATTTTAGAGACCAGTGTAGTTCCATCCTTCAACTTCAACTTGAGCCATAAGTTGCTCAACAGTCAAATTTCTTTAGGCTGCTTCAGCAGCAATACCCTCGATGTTGAGGCCAGTAGTGTTGAGTCTGTGGTTAAGAGCTTGATTGAAGAAAATGTCAACAGTGGATGGAGTGAATTTTTCAAGAACAGAGAAAACAACTGGAACAAGACCAGGTGGAATAATGGGAGGGAGATTATCTTCTGGGGTATCGATCCATCCAAAGAGGAAGTTGTGATAGCCGTATGGGAGACCCTCAGTTTGGTTGAAGAATTCTCTGGCAGCAGTCTCATTGAACTTGGCTCTAGCTTCAGCGTTAAGTGGTAAGTGGGAAACATGGAAGTCAGCATTCTTGGCCCATTCAATCCATTGGGAGAACTTATTTTTTTGAATTCCATGCTTTGGCCAGTACCATCCGTCTTGACTCTCAACAACGTAGAGCTCGCCATCTTCAAATCTCAAGGCCATAGTTGAGTGGCCAGCATGTGTACCTGATCCATACATGATGATTGGATCAACACCATCGAGTCTCATGATTGCTAGGAAGTCACCAGATTAGATTAAGCTTTCATCAATCTCAACAGTTTGAATTTCTCTCTTTTCTAGTTGGTATCCCATAGTCTCATTTAAGAAGTTAAGGTTAGCTTATTCCATGTATTCTGGGACGTGAGAGCCAATAATTGGTAGATCTGGGTTGGTGCCAAGTCCGCCAATGAAAGCAAGAGCAAAGTTGAAAACTGAGATGAAGGTATCAATATAGCCATCGCAGAACATGAAAACTTAGATACCTTTCTTTTGAATTGTAATTTTAGCCTCTGGGCTTAGATTTTTAAAGGTAACTTGATGCTTTCCGTGGAAGAAGAAAGTTTCAACGTGCTGGAATTCAGCATTTCCGAAGAGGAACCAATCCTTACAGAATAAGCTGTTAGCGTTCTCGGTATCGACAGTGACGATAACATCACCAATATCATTTTCATCTCCAGTTTATTGATAGGAGAAAGTAATATTTTTGAAGCAGAAGCCATTTCCATAAGTAACAGAGGTTTAATCTGGCCCAACAGACCCAACTCCGACGGGGAAGAAGTAAGCTGCTTCATCTGGATCCTATCCTTGATTCTCCATTCTGTTGTCGCACTTGTAGATTCTATCAGAGCTCATTTTTTCTTTGTTGACTTTACCCTGAATCAAAGCTTGCTGTAGATTCATTGTTTGTCTCTCATAATCCTACAGGAGATCTTTTTATGGGAGATAAACAGTCTTGGTCATGCCGTGGACAAACCAGTCAACGACTTCCATTGCGCCGAATTTGCCCTTTTGGACTTCTCTTCTAGGGAGACCATCCATGCTAAAAGCTGAAATGGCAGCAAGACCAATCAGTGATAAGGTTGCGAGTTACTAGTATCTCATTGTTGAAATAGATTAATTATATATTGGATATGTAGATCCTGCAATTAAACTGCTAACTCTAATCTATTATATTCTCGTCTGTGTAGATCATGCTATGATTATATACATTCAGCCAATTATAGCAAGTTAAATTTAGATCAACGGGGTTTTGGGGTTTTGGGGTTTTGGGG